AAACCGCTTAGAGAGGGCTGTAAAGCACTATGAAGCGGTATATAAGTTTAACTGCTATTGCTATTGCTATTTCACCCACCTCGGAAGGATGGAAGGCTGAGTCAATCTTGAATCTGGTGAGAATTGAACTGTTGGCAGTAGGCAGAGTCAGCCTGCAATACTCCATTCTAACCACTGCACCAAAGATAGATGGATGGATGGATGGATGGATGGATGGATGGATGGATGGATGGATGGATGGATAAAGAGAAAGAATATATAGAGAGAAACAGATAAACAATGATAGATAGATATTGTAGATAGAGAGATAGAGAGACAGATGATAGCTTATAAACTTATATACCGCTTCATAGTGCTTTACAGCCCTCTCTATGTGGTTTACAGAGTCGGCCTCTTGCCCCCAACAATCTGGGTCCTCATTTTACCCACCTCGGAAGGATGGGAGGCTGAGTCAACCTTGAGCTGGTGAGATCTGAACTGCCAAACTGCAGCAGTCAGTAGAAGGAGCCTGCAGGACTGCACTCTAACCACTGCACCACCACGGCTCAATAAGCTGGAAAGAAACCTCAAAAAGCCCCAGGGAGAACCCACCCCCACCCACCCACCCCTATAAAAGGTCTGGACATGCCCCCCAAAATATTCATTTTAGATGTAAAGGGGAAAAATATCTGATTCAACTATACAGATAGTCTAGACTTAAGACCACAATTGAGAGCTCAACATTTCTGTTCCTAAGCGAGACAACTGTTAAGTGAATTTTGCCCTATTTTACAACTTTCCTTAGCCACGGTTGTTAAGTGAATCACTGCAGTTGTTAGTAACACAATTGACTGCGCTTGTCAGAAGGTCGTAAAAGGGGATCACTTGACCCCAGGACACTGCAACCGTCATAAATATGAAGCAGTTGCCAATTGGAAGAATTTTGATTGCGCGATGCTGCAATTTTGATGCAGGATGCTGCAAAGGTTGTGTGAAAAATGTTACTTTTTTCACTGCTGTTGTATCTTTGTCACTAAAGCAACGGCTGTAAGTCGAGGACTAGTTGCATTGATGAGCAAACAAACATGTGAAGATAAAAACCCTTGCAGAAGGAGCCAATCAAAGTACGGAGCCAGTTTGTCCTGCATCCTGGGCTACTCATTAAACCATTGGCCAACATCCACCTGAATGATTTGCATAAGTGAGTTTGGCTCCTACCTGTGTCATCTTTGGATCCGTAAAGGATGATAAAGACATTGGAGTCCGTCCCGGCATTTTTCTTGTCTCCTGTTTTCACTCTGACTGTGAATGTCGTTGAATTAGCTGTTAAAAAAAGAATCTCTGTTTGGCATTTCTGAGAATTTTATTTCCCTTTTTGTTCCACGTTTACAATTTTGTTTTTAATGAAACAAGAACGGTTTCATGAAAGTGAGCGGAAAGCCAGAAATAATAACCTCTTCATCAGCGTGAACTAACTGTCCTTGTACAATGCAACAAGGGAGAGGTTCAAATTTTAATAACCCCCTTTTAGAGTGGGGGGGGAAGTGATCCAAACTTTGAAAATGGGGAAAAAGAGAAAAGAAAAACGTGGGAATAGAAATAAATAGAAATAGAAGTAGAAAGAGTAAAGTAGAGTAGAGTAGAGTAGAGTAGAGTAGAGTAGAGTAGAGTAGAGTAGAGTAGAG